AGAGAGCGCTGTACATTCACTCCCCCCACCTACAATCCCTGCCGGTACGAGACTCGAACCCACAACCTTTTGGGTTATGAGTCCGACTCTCTAACCATTAGGCCACGACTTCCCGTATGTGCATTAAAACTACAAATAATCCCACTATCAACAAAACACTCTACATTTATTTACTTGCATAAGTTATTTCACCTCCTACAGAATGTTTGGATAAACTGCCGTGTGTTAGAGATGCAAATCAGAACTTTTAACAATTCAGTCCTGAAGCAGACAATCAAGAATCCTTAATGCAACCAAACATAATGAAATTCATTCAGGAAGAACCGGTTCTCACTTGCCAACTCAAGTGTGTGTGTGTGTGTGTGTGTGTGTATTTACTCACACAAACAGTTTACTCTCAGAGATGAAGAGTTCAGCTGAGGAAACGGAGCTGAAGCACTGATTGGTGGTAATGAAGAACAGTGCGCCCATCCTGAAACACACACACACACACACACACACACACAAGTGGACAACCAACTGGAGTTTTTAAAAACAATTCTAAATATATGAGATGTACATGAAGTTGCAACAAAATTTTATTCAGTAAATTATATTTGAAAACACCAGGGCTGAAGAGAGACAGCTTCTGTTCATCAGATCTGAACACTGAATCACTCTAATTCAAGTGGACATGATTCTTCTAACAGAAATACTGAAATAATGACTGAACTGGATGAATGTGTTTTCATACCTGTTCTGAATGCCACTCGAATTCTTCTCCACTCCAAAAAATATGGCTCCAACAACCAAAGCCAGGAAAATCAACACCCCGATCTGGAGAAACAATCTCAGATTAATATAGAAATACTAGCATCAACCCAAATCAAAACTTCATCATTATTTTTTCATTTACATGTAGATATATATTTTCTTTTCACATATATTTTGACAAAAAGATAACCTCTGAAATATTTTCAGTGTTGCTCAAGTTTATATCACCAGCAAATTCACCTCAAATATATTGTGAATATTCAATTAATCAAACAGAATTCATATTAACCTATGAGAAGAGTTGACAAAAATGTAATAATTCATAAAATAATAATGTAAAATTAACATAAATCATTTTGAAATGAAAACAATCAAAATAAAGCACCTATTTAAAAAGACTAAATATTTTATGTTTACCTACATGAGTTATTATATTTAACTAAAACAATAAAAAACCTGTTACTTAAAATAATACAACACATAAAATGAAAAATTTAATATAAAAATGATTTTACTTAAAATATTAAAAAAGATATCTTATTTTATTTTAACCAGTTGCCAAGGAAACATCTGTTTTATTTAGTTTAACTTGCTGAACAAAAATAAACTCAAAATGAAATAAAGCATTTAAAAGTAATGTACATAATATAGACAAAATAATAAAATTAAAAACTAATTTTAAATAATAATTAAACTTATACTAGCATCTCAATGATCCTAAAATAACATTATGTTGTGTGTTGTCAAATTACTGAAATATCTTAAAATCTCAGAGGAACTTAAATAGTAGGCTTAAATATTTAAGACTGATAGAAACATCTGTGAATGCCTGATGTAGACAGTGGTGCTGACCTGAGCGAATGAGGTCTGTGGGTTCAGCATGAGGTTCCTGAAGGTTCTCCTGAGGACCCAGTTGAACTGGTGGCAGAAGGACGTGCTGTAGGTGATGGTTCTGGATTTGGGTCGTGTGCTGTAGTCCTGTCCCTGAACGATTCGCTCCAGCTCGCTTTTGGTCTGTTTGTAGCTGGAGCTGTTCTTGTATTCTTCCACCAAACGGTCCTCGATGCCCTTCAGAGATGAACTCAGCTGCTCCTCATCCAGTTCTGACACACGCAAACACATTTATGATTTTCATAAACACAATCTCCGCTCTCACAAAAACGAATCTCCGCTCTCTACCCAACAAAACGCACAAACTTTTTCTGCTCTCCCGGAACAACAAGGATTTTCCACACTCTGCTGCACTGTGTTTCATGGAAACCTGGCTGAATGACGCCATACCGGACAGCACGTTAAATCTGCCGGGCTTTCAGCTGTTCAGAGCGGACCGCGACGCAGAATCAACGGGGAAATCACGCGGAGGCGGATACCGGACAGCGCTTTAAATCTGCCGGGCTTCCAGCTGTTCAGAACAGATCGCGGCGGGACATGTTTTTACATCAGTGAGAGGTGGTGTACAGATCTAAAAGTGTTAAAGAAGATGTGCTGTCCCGATTTAGAAGTTCTCTTCATTAACTGTAAGCCTTTCTATTCGCCGCGGGAGTTCTGCTCGTTCATTCTCGTGAGTGTTTACATTCCACCGCAAGCGCAAGTGAGCTCAGCTTTACACAAACTCGCTGATCAGATCACAGACACAGAACAACAACACTCGCACTCTGTTATTTTAATTCACGGGGACTTTAATAAAGCAAATCTCTCACGTGAACTGCCAAAACGCAGACAGCGCGTTACATGTCCCACCAGAGACAGCAATATATTCGATCACTGTTACACTACAATAAAGGATGCATATCGCTCCGTCCCCAGAGCAGCTTTGGGGCTCTCAGATCACCGTTTGGTTCATCTTATACCGACCTACAGGCAGAAACTGAAATCAGCTAAACCTGTATTAAGGACTGTAAAAAGATGGACTAATGAAGCAGAGCGGGATTTACAAGCCTGCTACGACTGCACTGATTGGAGTGTTTTTGAAGCTGCTGCCAATGATCTGGATGAGCTCACAGAGACTGTAACATCCAATATCAGTTTCTGTGAAGACATGTGCATTCCTACCAGGACCTATTTAACATACAACAACGACAAACCATGGTTCACTGCAAAACTCAGACAGCTCCGTCAGGCCAAAGAAGATGCTTACAAGAAGGGGGACAATGTCTTGTATAAACAGGCCAAATACACACTTGAAAAGGAGATCAGAGTGGCAAAGAAGAATTATTCTGAAAAGCTAAGGAACCAATTCTCTTCTAATGACCCTGTATCAATGTGGAAATTTCTGAAAGACATCACCAACTACAATACACCATCCCCACAGCACTGTGGAGAATCAACAACTGGCAGATGATCTGAATGAGCTTTATTGCAGGTTTGAAAAAACACCCTTAACACCTCCAGCAACCCTCCTCTCCCCCACACCCGCACTTCAGATCAGTGAAGATGATGTGCGTCAGGTCTTCAGAAAGAAGAGAAAAAAGGCACCAGGCCCAGACGGTGCCACACCAGCCTGTCTGAAAACCTGTGCTGACCAGCTGGCCCCCATCTTCACACAGATCTTCAACAGATCACTGGAGCTGTGCGAAGTCCCTTCATGCTTCAAACGCTCCACCATCATCCCCATCCCAAAGAAACCCAAAATTACTGGACTTAATGACTACAGACCTGTGGCTCTAACGTCTGTGGCCACGAAGTCATTTGAAAGGCTGGTTTTGGCTTATCTGAAAGACATCACTGGACCTTCACTGGACCCCCTGCAGTTTGCTTACTGAGCAAACAGGTCTGTGGATGATGCCGTCAACATGGGACTGCATTATGTTCTGCAACATCTAGACAGACCAGGGACTTATGTGAGGATCAACACTATCATTCCAAACCTCCTCCTGTCCAAACTAACTCAGCTATCCGTGCCCACCTCTGTCTGTCAGTGGATCACGAGCTTCCTGACAGACAGGCAGCAGCTAGTAAAGCTAGGAAAATTCTCATCCAGCACCAATACGATCAGCACTGGCGCCCCCCAGGGTTGCATCTTCTTCCCACTGCTCTTCTCCCTCTACACCAATGACTGCACATCTAAAGACCCCTCTGTCAAGCTCCTAAAGTTTGCAGATGACACCACACTTATCGGCCTCATTCAGGATGCTGAGTCTGCTTACAGATAGGAGGTAAAAGAGCTGTCTGTCTGGTGCAGTCTTAACAACCTGGAGCTCAACACGTTCAAAAGAGTGCAGATGATTGTGGACTTCAGGCGAAACACCCCAGTACTCCCCATACTCACCATCATGGACAGCACTGTAATGGAGATGCAACCAGGTCTTAGTTGCAGAAACACCTTCACAAGACCCGGGGCAAATATCATGCATGGCTCAGTCACAAAAAGAGCCTACAGATCCCCTTCATGCTTGAGAGAGGCAGACTCAAAAGGCAGTCTCGATAACCCCTCCAGGACGACTGACAAGTCCCAGGAAGGAAAAGTAACAGGATGCACAGTCCTCAAGCCCCTAACCCAACATATAAACAAAGTAACCAGACAAAGCCTGCCCAAAGGGACTTTGTCCGACTCCTGCCCTGGAGTTGAGACAGTAGGTCCCGATTGGAATCTCCCACAAGGTTCACTCCACCAGGAAAGTCAACTCTGAGAACCATGTCTGGGATGGCCAGAACAGGACCATCAAAAAGAACCATCTCTGTAAAGAACCACAGGGATCAATTTGACTGGAGGAAATGCATACACTCTCAGATTTGGCCAAGAGTCCTGTGATGCAAAGAGCCTCTGCCTCACCAAAAAGATTCCAAATCTCATGCCTGTTCAGGGTGTGTGACCACGAACCTTACTGGTGGTTTATGTGAGACACCACCTCCATATGAGCCTTTACTGTTAAATGCAATTGTCTCTCCTTAAACTCTGCAGTGTATATGTGGCCGTTGATCCTTTATAGAAGTCTTAAAAACAAAACTTATAAAATAAAATTATATATAGGCTACAGAAAGCATTGGTGACAAATGGGCCTGCATCAAGTGTGAATCCAGCTGGACCCCCGAGAAAGTGGTTCTCTGAGAAGGACTTAAGATTCTCTTCTGAAAAATTGGTGGCTGACGATGATGATCTATTGTACTTCACCGTGAGGAGAACAATGTAAGTTCCACTTGATGTTGTTGCTGAAGCACAAAAACAGGTACTCCAAGAAAAAAAGACAGTAGGTCCTGATTGGAATCTCCCAATGGGGTTTGCTCCACCATGGAAGTCAACACCGAGAACCATGTCTGGAATGGCCAGAACTGGGCCATCAACAGGATACTGATTCCGCATTCCCTCACTCTGCAAAGAACCGCAGGGATCAATTTGACCGGAGGAAATGCATACGGTCTCAGATCCGGCCAAAAGTGAGTGAAAGTGTCTATCCCCAGTGGCACCGACAGTAAGGACCAAAGGGGGCACAGAATCAAGTCCTGCGACACAAAGAGGTGCACCTCTGCCTTGCCGAAAGGATTCCAAACCTGAGCCTGGAGCCAGAATCCAGTCCCCTGACCTGAGTTTCAGTCTCAACAGAAAGTCTGCTGCGAGGTTCAAAGCACCCAGTACATTAACTGTTCTTAAGCAAAAGGAAACACTGCCTTGAGCCCAGAGGAGATGCTGCACATGCCTGTTTCGGGTGTGCGACCGCGAACCTCCCTGGTGGTTTATGTTAGACACCACCGCCATATGAGTCTTTACTGTTAAATGGAGGAGAACATAAGTTCCAGTTGATGTTGTTGGTGAAGCACAAATGATTTTCCATGATTTTCTGAATTTACAAGACTTTTACATTTTTTAAATGTCATATTTATGAATTATATTTATTCAGATTATCATGACTGCAGGAACACTGTAGTTACATGCCAATGAAATAATTGATCATTATTTAATT